TCTTTCCCCCACCACTTCCTCCGATCGAACGTATCTCGAACGAGGGAATTAAGTTGTTAAGGTATTTCATTGGTTTCGTCTCGTTTCGTCATAGGGGGAGCGTAGTGGTGATGAAGTATCTTGCATCGGTTTTTTATTATATTAATTATTTTATTAATTTTATAATATTATATTAATTTATTATATTAATTTTTTTTTTTTTTCGTAGAATTCGTGGAATCGTGTTCTCTTTTTTATTTTTATTTTTAACACGTTTGATAATTAGAAAAGGTTATATATTATGTATTAGTAAATGTATTAGTAAAATTAATTTCGTAAAAGTTTTAACAAAATTCGAAATCTTTCAATGAATCTACAAAAGATTCTTTAGAGATATTGGAATGTTATTAATTTTTTTCTTTCCGTAGAAATCGTGGAATTGTGTTCTCTTTTTTATTTTTATTTTTAACACGTTTAACAATTGGAAGAAAGATTATATATTATAATTTGGATATTTTTGTAAAATTCAGAAATTTTAATGAAATTCGAAATATTTTTCAATAAATACAAAAGATTCTTTAGAGATATCGGAATATTATTAATTTTTTTTTTTTTCGTAGGATTTGTATTCTTTTTTTATTTTTATTTTTAACACGTTTAACAATTGGAAGAAAGATTATATATTATATATTAAAATTTGGGATATTTTTGTAAAATTAATTCGGAAGTTTTAACAAAATTCGAAATCTTTCAATAAATCTACAAAAAATTCTTTAGAGATATTGGAATATTATTAATTTTTTTCTTTCCCTAGAATTCGTGGAATTGTGTCCTTTTTTTATTTTTATTTTTAACATGTTTAACTCTTTCGCTACGGGCTTTTCTCTTTCCTCGGCATCCCCGCTGAATGAGCCACCACTACAAAAATGTGCACAATATTCGAGAAAGATCGTCAATAGTTTATGGCATTTTTTTTGGTGATTTTTATCGAAGAATCTCGAAAAAAAAATAATAAAAATACCGATGCTACGTTTCCAGAGAAAAATACTTAATATATGTCGCCATAATATGTCAATTTTATAGAAAACGATCACAGTAGTAACGAAAGGATTAACACAACTGGAAAAAAGATTATATATTAGACGAATTTGGTATATTTTTGTTAAAATTCATTTCAGAAATTTTAACAAAATTCGAAGTATCTTTCAATAAATACCAAAAATAATGTCAAAGCTACATCGATTGATTTCTACTATTATATATAAAAAAAAAAAGTTATTCAATAAAAATTTATTCCTCCTTCAACTCCTCTCCTCTTTCAGAAACTATTTAACAAGATTCGATTAATTTTAACTCCATGTATAAATATATTATTTCTTCCTAACTCACTTTTCCTCCTCCTCCTCCTTCTCGTTATGCAAGAAATAAGGATGAAACTGGCGGTTCAATTGGCGATCAGAGAGTAAGAAAAAAAACTCTGTGGCGAATTGAAGGGGAAAATGGGATTTTAATCGGATGCGAATGGTGTTCACAGATGAACAGGGGGTCGGAAGTCGGCATAGGCATCACGAGCGAAAAGGAAATGATACAGGAGAGAAGGGTTAACACGCCGATGACCCAACCACCGAGGAAATGCGCGCTTTGCCGTTTTTTGAAGTCGCTCTGCGCCTCCCATCATTTCAAAAATTTACAGGTAAACGACGAGTCTTCCTTTTTTTTTTTTTTGATTTTTCCTCC